TAGCTAGTAACCTCTCCTATATCTCGTTAGGGAGATAGCCTAAAGATATAATACTTATATTAATCGACTCGTCTCCTTAAAGCGAATATAATAATATACCTCTTAACCTAAGGGGTAAAGGAACGATTATAGTATAGGTTTAAGAAGATAACCCTTAGTCCGAACCCCGTACCTTTAACCTAGCGGTTAGTAGGGCCGGCTTAAGGATATTATAAATATAATAATAACGTAGATAAAAGGATATATTATAAGGGATTAACCTAAGTAACGTTATTAAAGGAAAATAAGCTTATAGGCCTAAGAGATCCCTTATTAATAATATTATCGTAAAGGTAAGTAAGTATAAGCTTTATATTAAAGATATACCGCCTCTCCCTACCTCCTTTAACGCGGTAATAGCTTTAAAATTCGTATATAAGTAGAAGGAAGCTATAGACCGCGAAATAGAGGTAAACCTAGTAAGGGGCACGTAGAAAACTATCTTAAAAGCTATTATTAAATAGAAAGGTTACTTCCTAATCCCCTTACGTTAGGTCTTTATATATAAGACTAATAAATAGGGGTATATTATATACTTTAAAGTATATATTATAGTTTATAAAGACCTATAACTTAAAGGTAATAAGGATATATATATAGCTATATTATAAGTATAAATATTTCGACTACTAATAACCTTCTACTACCTTAAGGACTTTAAGAGGAAATATTACGACGTAAAAATAGTATTTCTATATATAATCCTATGCTAAGAAGTCTATTACTAGCCTCTACTAGGATTCTTAATACCTAGGCTATGCCTAAAGCTATTAAAAGCACTATATAGGCTCTATATCTCCCTAAAGCTCTAGTTTAAAGAGATATCTAGTTTCTTTACTAAACTAAGAGCCTAGTAGCTAGTAGAAGACGCTTATATACTAGTCTATAAGGGCGTTATTATCTTTATCTTTATAAATAATATCGTTATAATATATCTTAAAGGGCAAAAATAAGATTAAGAAGAGCTATATAAGGCTATTATAAAAAAATACACCGTTATATATATAAGAGAGCTATACTAGTTCCTTAGAATCGAGATTATTAGGGATAGGGATCTTAAGAAGATATAGCTCTCGTAAGCTTCTTATATCTCTAAGACCGCGAAGAAATATTATATCCTTAATAATAATATCCTTTATAAGCCTAAGATCCCGCTAATAATAAAAGAGCACGTCCCTTATAAAAAGCAGGCCTTAAAGGAAGAGATATATAAATGTATCTCTTTAATTAAGTCGCTTATTTATCTAGCAATTTATACTAAACTAGATATCGTATTTATAGCCGGAAAGCTAGCCTAATATAATTATAACCCTAGGCCGCGCTATAGGTATAAAGCACGTAAGTGCCTAGCTTATCTCTATTATATAAGAAACCGCTATATTTACTTTACGGCGATAAACCTAATAAGGCGGCTAATATATATATCTAACTCCTTATACGCCGATAACTTAGAGACTAGGAAGTCCTTATAAAGATACGTATTCCTACTCCTTAGTAAGCTAATTAACTAGAAAGCTACTAAGCAAGCTACTATAATAACGTCTTTTATAGAAGCTAAATTATTAGTACTCTTATAGATAAGTAAGGAATAAGTAGTATTTAGCCGGCTATTTAAAGAGCTTAGTATTAGTATTAAAGGGACTATAGAGCTCTAGTATAATAACCTTTAGACTATTAAGCTTTTAACTAAATTAAGCGCAAAGCTTAAGATAAACCTTAAGTACGTTAACGTTTATAAATACTAGCTTTATTAAGAGGTATAGTAAGATCGAATATAAGTTAGCTAGATTATATTAATAGGTAACCTAGCTAATAGTATAACGAAGGCGCTTATATACTAGAAGTATTAGAGCTTTATTAAGTAATTAAGATTAGTAATATAGCTAGAAGATATATTAAGAGATAATATACCTAACTACCGTATTAAGGCGTAATGTCTCCTTACTATAGTAAACTTAATAATCGCTAGATCCTAATAATAAGAGTACTACTATATATAATAAGATTAAGGGATTTTAACGGCGTAGTTAGATCTTAATTTAGTTAAGAAACTATAAAGATCTAAGGGGTAGAAGTTAGCCCTATTTACTACTAAGAAGTAAAGCTATTACTAAAATACCCCTTAAATAGTATAATACTATAGCGCTTAAACTTATAATAATCGCGATAGCTTTACTAAATTAAGACTAATTATTATTAGAAAGCCTACCTTTAAGATTACTTTTATCCTAAAGGACTACGTCGCTAGTAAAGGTACTATAGTACTTAGGCTACCTAAAGGGATGCCCCGCTATGCCCCTCCTTATAAAGAAGGTTATAAATATAACTTATAACTACTAGTTAAACGGTAAGAGTAGGTTATATAACCCTATTAATCGTAAGTTCGACTCCCCCCTAGGGCGGAAGAGTAGGTTATATAACCACGCCCTAGGGGGGGGCGCGGGCAATAAACTTAGGGACCTAAGGGGAGAGGAAATAAAGGGCTTCTCCTTATATCCTCTCCCCTAGGTCCCGGCTTTTGCCTTTTACTATATTTACCTTCCATTTTTTATAGGATATAATTAAGAGCCTCCCCTATTTTTAGATAACCTCCTTAAATAGATAATAAAGCAGCCGAATTTAATATCGGAATAGCCTTATATTTATTAGACCGAACCCTCCTCTACCTATTGCCCTACTATCTAGAAGCTAGGGTAGCAAGGGGGTATATTAAGGAGAGTAGGCATAAGATACTATAGTTATACTTAGTAGACCTAATAGTTATATATAAGGAAGCCTGCCTAACTAATATAACTCCCCTAGCCTAAGGATATTATATAGGCCTAACTTAGGTATAGGAACATCCTAATGCCCTCTTTTAGCTAGCTATATATAGTTACTATACCTATATAAGCCCCTCCCTTATCTTAATAGATAGACTAAGACATACATTACTAAATTTACCTTTCTATGCCCCTATTTCTTCTACTATACTCTTAAGCCCCTGCTTAAGAAATACCTTATACTTTTATAGCTAACTTAGCTACTTAGTTATTATTATAGTTATAAAGAATATAAATATAGTCTTCCTATAGGTCTATCGCGTACTCTCTAACCCTACTAACTTTCTATACTTATAAGCTATCTTTTATAGTAGGAATTTAAATCTTTAGCATACTCTAGTGCCTAGCCGGGTAAGAGGATGCGCCCGCGGGAGAGTACGAACGCTGATATAAAACCTCGCTGCTGCCTAAGTGTCCCGCTTCACTACCGGCCGAATGCTTGCCTCTACTTCCGCGACTGCCGTCGGCATAGTACGGAACGCTCTGGTCACCGCCTGCGCCCCTACTATCTATGCTCGATTCAACTAGTAACCCTCCCTTACTCCGCATGCATAAGCCTAGGCAGTGGAGGCATAGTCTATGGAAGGCGCAACCGCAGCCGTGAACAACTGCCTGGCCACCCGGGGTGACAATCCACGCAGTCTTTTCAGTTGCATAACGCAGGAAGTTCATACAGGCGTCGGTTATCCCATTCCTTGGCTATCCGCCTATCCGTAAAGCATTTAGATATTAGAGGTTGAAACTGCATAGTGCGAGTCGAGCGTGCCGAGGTTTACTGCGGGATGCTTATGAGTCGCGCAGGCATAACCACGTAATTCGAGAAAGTCCTAGTATACTTGGTATTAACGGAAGTAGGAGACTATGTACTTCGTGGTTATCCGTAGATCTTTACGGCTATGCCACACTTGATGTGTCTTAGCTGCCCGTTACAGTTAGTGTCGAGAGGCCACGGCAAGGCAAAGACCAGCATTGAAGGCTGAAAATGAGGTCATCCGCATGCGTGTGATGTCGCCCACACGGGTGCTACGAGGGGACAGTAAAATGACGGGAGCGCCCCCGCTAGGGATGACCCAGGTCCCTAGAGGTTGTGTTCCCTATTTGGGAAGGCAGGATGGGCTAGTCTGCCGGTCTCGATCTCCCCCAAAGGTCTTGCCCTCGGCCCGCCACGAGGGCGGCCTCCGAAGCGTGTGGCCACTACGCCACGAGGATGGTAGGGGCGCAATATTAGTAGAGGAGGCACAGGGTCATATTGCCAATCCATTCGGGACCTCTACAATGCTCCACGGATAGGTAGATAGCCAAGGAATAGGATAACCGACGCCTATATAAATGTCACGAGACTGGCACGACAAAGTAGGAGATATAACAAGCACTAATATCACTCCCACTCGGGGGTGCCCTTATTTTAGCTAAGTAGTATTTAATATAACAGTTATAAGCCCGGGAGGGAAGGCGCTAAGCTAAGTCTTACCTATAACTTCTAGAAAACTACGTATATATACAATCTCCTATTCGAAACCCCGCGACGACTAGGTTAGCAAAAAAAAAATCAATTATCGGAGCTACTAGCTATAACGTGCAAAATAGCTCTCTAGCACCATAATAGCCAGAAACCTAGGAGATATAACAAGCACTAATATTACTCCTACTCGGGGGTGCCCTCATTTTGGCCAAGTGGTATTTAATATGACAATAATCCTGCTGCGTCATGCAATGTACAGCCCAGTTATTCAGCTACACTATACCCCTATATCCCACATAGCGTTGTCGCGAAGACCATTGCGCCACGAAGGCAAAAGTGGAACGCGCGCTCCGAAAGGCGCACTGCAATTGACACATGTGTCTCTCTTTCTAACAAGCATAGCCCTTCCGAGATGTGTACCTATACCATGGAATCGACAGCAGTATCCACAGTAACACGAGCATCTCGGCTAGGACCCGAGTCATAGACTGGACACTGCCGTTATGCCGTAGTGAGATCGCAATTGTCATATCTCTATAAATACCTGGACTTCACTGGAGTCTTTATCGGCTTCTCTAGACACACTCATGCTCACTTGTCTGTCTATTCAACCAGTACCAATCCTTGATATCACTCTTTAGTTTTACGGCTAGTCTTTACTCTACCAGCATTCGAAAATGAAATCCGCCATTGTTCTTGCCAGCACCGCCGCTCTGGTCGGTGCCTTGCCCCAGGGCAAGCCCGCCGCCGGCCAGAAGCTTCCGTGGATCGAGGATGTCTCGTTTGGCGGCTTATACTGTGGTTGGTTGCGAGACACCTGGTTCGAACACTCCGAGGAAAACTGTGGCACGCAGACATTTTGCGAGGATTTCGACGACCAGCAAAAGATGAGGGACTATCTCAAGGCCGAGCCCGAGTTTAAGAGCGCCAAGGAGTGCTTCGCCGCACGGGAGACCAAGCCTGGCTCGACGCCTGACCCTGCCCAGCAACCGAAGACCGAGACGGTTGCCGCTTCCCAGGAAGGGTCTCCCTCCTAAGAGGCCTCTCCGGCCCCCGCTAACAAGCTCGAGGCCGAGCCCGAGTTTAAGAGCGCTAAGGAGTGCTTCGCTGCCCATGAGCCCCGCTCGTCCTAAAGACGGAGAAGAATAGGCAGTTTAACGAGCGAAGCGGGCCGGGCACGGTTCTTAGTTTCTCCGTTAAGTCTTACGCTTCGCATAGTATCAAAGATAGCTAGGGCAAATAAATTCGCTGTCTAAAATAAAGTATCCTCCTTTAAATACTTTAAACACCTATTACGTTGCTAATATAAGGGGCTTAACGGCTAAATATCTAGCAGAAGGGTAAATATCGTATACCTACGTATAGGCTTCGGAATCGATTAACTAATCGATTTCGATTTCGATCGTATTAATTAAACCTATTAATCGATCGATTTATTCGTCGATCGCCTTATATTAATAGAGTCCCGGGTAGGTCGCAACACGATAATTATATCGCTAAACTCGTCTATTAAATACCCCTATAATACGTTATAAAGCAGCCGTAGTAAGGGAATCCTACCTATTAAGAAAGATTTAGGATTTATCTTTACTCCGACCTCTTTAATATACTAAGTAAAGTATTTATATATAGTTATATAGGTATAAGTCTTCTAGAATATAACCGCGGTCGGCGTACGCTTCTAGGTATAGAAGGGTTCGCCCTCCTTACCTTAGAGGGATTATCTCCGGGGGCTATTTAGCGTCCGTTTACTCGCCGGGCTAATAACGGAGATATACCTATAGCTAAAAGATTATCTAGTAGAGCGCCGTTAAGTTTAGAAAGGACTAATATAGTATATTAGTAAAGTCGGTATTATATTTAAGGAGGTAGTAATAGACCTTTATAGCTAAGAGTTATTAATTAAAGAAGATTTAATTTACCGCTTATATTAAAAACTAACGGCTCCTATTTAATACTACTTACTACCTATTATTACGTAGGGCGGGATCTAGTACGCGACTTCTTATACTACTAGCTTTATAGAGTTAGCGGGTAACCTAAGTAGTAAGAGTAATACGCTTTTATATTAGTATATTTAGCTTAGTAGCTATTATAGGCTACGCCTATAAAAGGCTAAGGTTATACTATAGCGATAGTATTAGAGTTAGGCTAAAGTAGACCTATATATAGGTAGAGCTCGACCTAAGCTTAGGCCGAATAGTACCTAAATATAGGTCGAGCTAATAGAAAAATATAAGGCCTTCTTAATAACCCTTTTTCTAACCTTAGACCTTAGCCTTAGCTACCCCCTTAGCCCCCCTTAGAGCCTAAAAAAAAGAACCTCCGGGCTATATAGGTAGTAAGGGCATAGCTAAGTAAGACTAGCTAGAGCTAAAGGACCTTAAAATTAAGAGGGCTATTTTTAGCTATTTTAATAAGAAAGCCTTTAGCCCGGACTCCCTTAGCTTCCTCCCTATTTAATATATATATATAGCTATCCCTAGAGTCTTTAGTAGGGCCTATAAAGCCTTATTTAACTAAGGATACTACCCTAAGTTATAAAAGGAAGCTATAAGAATTATACTTCCTAAGTAAAATAAGCTAGACTATACTATTCTTAAGGCTTATAGGGTTATTATCGCGAAGCGTAGCTTAATTTCGTAGTTCTTAGAGATATCTTATAGTATAAGGGACCTAGGAAGCTAAAAAACAGGTTTTAAAGAAGGAGCTAAAAGGAGGTATAGAAAGGAGGGTAAGGGTAAGAGGGAAGTAGAAGTAGTAATAGCTCCCTATAAGGGTAGCGAGAGATAAGATAGATATACCGGTAACGGCTAAAAAGAAGGGGAAAAACTAGTAAAAAGCTTAGTAGTTAAAAGGATATTAATAGCTTCTTTAAGTAGGATCTTCTTTATTAATTAAGATACTAAATAGGTATAAAAAGGGGTGTTAGATAAAGGAAAGAAGGATAATTAAGGTAATATAATAATTACTCCCCTATTATAATTACTGCCCTTATAAGAATTAAATATCTCTACCCTACCTATCTAACCCCTTACTTTTAATTTTACCTTTATATATTTTATATATACTTCTTATATCTCTCTTTATAAGAGTTATAAGCCTAGGAGGAATAGAATTCTTATACCTTTTAGCTGCTATAAAAGGTACCTTTCTTATATCCTTTATAGCTTCCTTTTACCCCTCTTACTAAAAAAGCTAATTTTTAACTAACTTTTCTACTTCTTCTTCCTTAATAATATCGAAAAATAACTCTACTACCCCTATAGTCTATAAACCGATTCTTATAAAGCCCTAAGATTAAGATAAGTAGGTAAAGGAGCTACGGACTTATATAGATAGAACTATTTATAATTTAGTCTTCTTTAATAAGTAAGACTCTCTTAAGCCCCCTCTTTAACCTAGAGTAATAGAATTTATAGAGGGAGCTTCCCTCTTTTCTAAGCTAACCTCTATATAATAGAGAGTTTTTTCTACTACCTTAGGTAACTATAAGAGTTACCGTAAGGAATACCTTTATAAGATAAAGCTACTAACTACTACTTATATAGTAATAACGGAATCTATTAATACTATAAAGCTAATCTCTCTTTAAAAAGAAGAGACTCTTAGGAAGTAGCTTTTAAAGCTCGAGAACTTAATAGCTCCCTTAAGGGGCTATATAACTAACTATATTAGGAAGACCTATATAGTATACCTAGGAACCTTTTTTACTAGGAACCTACTAGCTTCTTTATAGCTAGCTAAGTAAGAAGAAATCCTTAAGGAAGCTAACTAATACTTCCTTATAAAAGCTCTTTCTAGCTAGTAGCTATAGGATATATCTTTATTAATAAAGCCTATTAATAACGGTTACTTAACTATCTTTTAAGAAGTTAGCTAGGAACTAGATAAAGAAGCTATTAAAGTATAATAATAAGTAGTCTTATTCTTTTATAGCTAGTACTTAACTTAAACGGTTCGACCTACTGCCCTTATAGCTACTATAGCCCTTATTACTACGGCTACCGCTACTATTACTATAGCTATTGCCCCTCCGGCTCCTCCTCCTTTAAGAACCTTAACGCTATCGTTAACTATAGCTACTACCTTAGCCCTAGCTCTAACTCTTACTCCGGGCCCGGCCCCGGCCCTATTAGTTAGACCGGCCTAACTAGTCCCTTAATAGACCTTTTAGTTTATTAGTCGGAAAATTAAAGAACTAGTCGAAATCGAACCTCGTTAAAATTAGTAATAAGAGGTAGAAAGGGGGGGTTTTTAAGTAGACCTTTTAAATTAAAATAAGGATTCCTTAAAGAAATAAAAGACTAAATAAAACGGCTGCCTAGCCTATAAATCCCTAGGCTATTAGTTATTATAATGCTAATAGGTCTTTAAGAAAAACCAACCTAAAGGAGTTAACTCTTTAAAGAGGCTATAAGAAATAGTATAATAGTCTCTTAAGGAAGACTCCTTATTATAGAAGAAGATAGATAAGATTCAGGTTACTAAGAAATAATAACTAACGCCGCTACCTTTATTCGAGCTATAAATTTAAGGAAACATTATTAGTATAGTAAATCCGACCTTTATCTTCCTTATAAATTAATAACGCTAAGACTAACTATTAGGACCCTTTAAATATCCCTTATAAAAATTAGCTATCCTTAACTTTAGTACTTCCCTTAATATTTATAATATACTCTTATAATTCCGGTCCTTTAAGAAAGTATAGAAGGAATACCTTATTACTAAGGAGTTAACTATATAGATAGAGGGGTATAAAAGGGTGAATTTTATAATAAAATTACTTAATAGGTCTATATAAATTCTTTAATAAAAAAGGGTAGCTTTTTACCCTTAATTTTTAATAAGCTTAATTTCCTTTTACTTTCTTTAAGAGAAAGGAATCTTTTAAGATATAACGACTAAGCCTATAAAGCTAGTCTAAAAGAATTAAACGATTAGGTTTATCGAGGAAAAAATCGGTTAATTTATTCTCGAATTCTAACCTATCCTTAAAAAGGAATCTCCTAAAAAGTTAGCTTTCCCTACTAAGAGAGTAGGTTCTAAGGACCCTCTTTTAGTAGCCTAAAGAGACGGTCTTTTTTAATACGTATAACTTAGTTACTTAGGCCCCTTAGCTTTATATAAGCTAGGCTAATAATAAGGCGTATAAATAAAGAGCTTAAAGACCGTTAAATATAAATACTATAGTTAGGGGAAGACTAAGAAACGAATTTTTAGACGAACCCCTTTATAGCTAGACTAGCTATATAAGGAAATTTAAGTTAACTAGACTAACGTCTCTAAGGACTAAGAAAGCTTTATTAAGGTAATGTTTTTTATAGACGCTTTTTTAGGGATAGTTTTCCCTTATTTCTTATAGACCTACCTAAGTAAGTATAACTAGTTTACCCTTTAAGACTTCGTTAACTAAATAAAATCCTACTTTAGCTATAAGGTAAAGAAGATATAGTTTAATAGAGAGCTATTTATAAAGGATATCTTAAATAAGCTTTAAAAACGGGGTATTTTACCCCTCTTATTAGCACTAAATACCTAAGCCTAAAATAAAGGGGTAGAAAGATTAAGGGGTACTATAATAAAAAGGGCCTATATAATAAGACTTACTATAAAGCTTCCTTATAACCTTTAAAGGGAAATCGTTAAGACCGCTTATTACTTATAGAACTAAACCTTTAAAGGGGCTACCTAAGGAATAAACTAGAAATCTCCCCTTAAGCTCTTTATAAAGAAAAGGGCCTTACTAGCTTACTTTTATACTTATAGCTATAAGGTATATACTATAACTATTAATATATAGCTAAAAAGGAAGAAGAAAAGAAAGCTTAATCCTAGAGCCTTTATTAGTTACCTTATTAGCTATAATTTTATAAATATCTTCTAGATCTAGATTCCTTTTTTATAGAAAGTTATTTTAATTAAGGATATAATTTTCGACAAATCTAGCTTTTTTAATAGAAAGAGGGATTAATATCCCCTCTTACTCTTATAACGTTAGCTAATTTAAAAGATCTAAATCCCCCCTTCTTAA